CGCAGAGGTCCTCGACCTGCGCGACGGGCGGCGGCGAGGCCGCCGGGCAGCCCCGCGCTGGCGGCGCAGGAGCGGGCGCAGGCCGCGGCGCCTCCAGAGCGGCCGGTGCAGCCGGCGGCGGGCGAGCGCCTCCCCACAGGCGCACAAGCCAGGCGGCGCAGGCGTGGAACGCGACCAGCGTCACGCCGTGGGCCACCGGGCGCATGCACGCGCCCCGCGCGTGGGCCTCCTGAGGCCCTCACAGAAAAGGCTTGAGCCGTGGCGGTTGCAGACCGCACGGCCCTCCATCGCTCTACGATTACTGTTCGAGAACCTCCCATCATCATCATCATCATCATCATCATCATCATCATCATCATCATCATCATCATCATCATCATCATCATCATCATCATCAGCATCATCATCATCATCACCATCATCATCATCAGCATCAGCATCATCATCATCATCATCATCATCATCATCAGCATCAGCATCAGCATCATCATCAGCATCAGCATCAGCATCAGCATCAGCATCAGCATCAGCATCATCATCGTCATCATCATTATCATCATCATCATCATCAGCATCATCAGCAGCATCAGCATCAGCATCAGCATCATCATCATCACCATCATCAGCAGCATCAGCATCATCATCGTAGCATAACGTATCATAGCATAGCATAGCATAGCATGGCATAGCGTATCATGAAAAACCTACCATATATCATACCACCTCATAATACATCATGGTATAACAGACATGGTATACAATAACACGACATACCATACCCTTGCATAACATGACATGACACACCGTAGCTTAGCAAGACATACCATGACACACCATGGCATACCATAACATGACATAACATGTCATAACATCACATAACATAACATACCATAGCATAATATAACATAATATTGCATATCAGAACAGAACATAACATAGCATGAGAAGGAGGCGGAGAAGGAGGAGGTGAGTGTGAAGGAGTTGGCGCGGTCAGAGTAGTAAAAAAAAAAAACATCCTCTGGATATGAGGAATAACAAGAAATCCATCCTTTGGATATGGGGGAGAGATCCGACACACGTCGATCTGGACGTCACTTTTGCAGGGGGCGGCCCTCCTAAAATGGGCGCTATTTTCAAGGGAACTGGCCCCCCTGAAATCCCCTCCTGCTCTTGTGGACTGGTCCCCCTAAAATGCCTCCCCGTTTTATGAAGACCCGCGACCCTAAAACGCCTTTTTACGGGGGCCCGTCCCTCAAAAATGCCCCCCCGTTTTACGGGGACCGGTCACCTTAAAATGCCTCCCCGTTTCATGGGGACCGGTACCCCTCAAATGCCCTTCCGTTCCACGGGGACTTGTCCCCATCAGATGCCTCTCCGCTTTATGAGGACAGGGCCGCATAAAATTCACCTCCGTTTTCCTCAGAATAGGCTTGCCCTATAAGAGTTCTAACTCAAACCCTACTAATTGGTCCGTTGCCTCCCCCCTATTCCTATGCCGCCCCCTAATTCCTACGGCTATGCCTATGCCTATGCCTCCCCCCATAACTCCTATGCCTACGTCTATGCCTAAGCCTATGCCTATACCTATACCTATGCCTATGCCTATGCCTATGCCTATGCCTATGCACCCCCTCTGAGCGCTCCTATGCCCATGCCTCTGTGCCTATGCCTATGCACCACCTCTGAGCGCTCCTCCACCTCTTCTCCAAATAGCCTTGCCCTATCGGAGTCCTAGCTCATCATATCAGCGAGCGTTGACTCCAATGAGATTAGACGACCCAAATCAAGGAATCAAAGGAATCAAGCATGCTTGGAATCCACAACTCAGCAAGCAAGCGTGCAAGCAAGCGCACAAGCAAGCGCACAAGCAAGCAAGCAAGCAAGAAAGCAAGCGTGCAAGCGCGCAAGCAAGTAAGCGCGCAAGCAAGCAAGCAAGCACGCAAGCAAGCAAGCAGTGGAAATAAGGGGGGGGCCATTGGCAAAAGGAGGGGGGCAGGGGGTGCCATTGGAAATAAGGGGGGTGTCATTGGCAAAAGGAGGGGGGGCTAAAGACCAATTACTTATGATGAGCAGCTAGGACTCCTATAGGGCAAGCCTATTTGGAGAAGAGCCCATTTTTCCAATACCACCCCCCTTATTTCCAATGGCAACTCCCCCTTTGCCAATGGCACCCCCCCTTAATTCCAATGCTTGCTTGCTTGCGTGCTTGCGTGTTTGTTTGCTTGCTTGCGCGCTTGCTTGCTTGCTTGCTTGTTTGCTGGCCTGCTTGCTTGCTTGCTTGCTTGCTTGCGCGCTTGCTTGCGCGCTTGCGTGCGCGCTTGCTTGCACGCTTGATTGCTTGGTGAGTTGCGGATTCCAAACATGCTTGATTTCTCTGATTCCTTGATTTGAGTCGTCGAATCTATTCGGTCAACGCTGGCTGATATCTTGACACAGGCCCTCACAATAATGACGCCTATTCCGTCGGCATCCTCGCTCCAAGACGGCCCCAGGGAGCCCGAGGGCACCCATGCGCGGGCCGAACTTGAAGGTGTCTCTGGGGCTCTCCCCTTCAGGGTGGCCCTGGGGCCGCCCTCAGGCCGGCGAGAGGCGCACAAGAGGCATCCCGAAGGTTCCACGAGGTCCACAAGGGGGAGCCCAGGAGGCGCCCCTGAGACCCCAAAGGGGCCACTGAAGGGCGTAAGAGGTCTTCCAATGAAGACAAGAACCTCTGTCTTCTTCGATCCCAGATGTTACGGACGGTCTCTTCTCCACTGGGGGAGTGATCTGATGCACGGCGCGGCCAATTTGGATCTGGCGCGCGGAAGAGAGACAGAGAGAGGGATTGACACATTGAGAGAGAGAGAGAGGGAGAGAGGGAGAGAGAGAGAGAAAGAAATCCACGTCGTCATCCTCTTCCCTCTTGCTCTTCCTCCTCCTCCTCCTTCGAACGCCACCTCCTCCTCCTCCTCCTCCTCCTCCTCCTCCTCCTCCTCCTCCTCCTCCTCATGCGAACGCATCTTCACATTCATCCTCGTTATCTTCCTTCTTCTCTTTCACCTCACCCCCCATTCCTCTCCTCCTCCTCCTCCTCCTTGTCCTCTCCTCCTCTTCTCCCCTTCATTTTCTCAGCAGCAGCAGCAGTGGGAGCGAGAGCTCGACGCGCCGGCGACGCGTACCAAGCGACGGGGGAGATGAGGGAGTACCCGTGGTGGGAAAGTCAGTTAATCCCAAATCTGGGCGTTCAGGAATCCCGAAAAAAAAACCTAAACCTCGGAATTTGAAAACTATCAAAACTATTGACCCCAACCGCCGCCATCGTCGTAGCCCATCCCCCCTGGGCTCAACATCATCATCACCACCACCACCACCATCATCATCATCATCATCACCATCACCACCACCACTACCACCATTATCAGCATCATCATCATCATCATCATCATCATCATCATCATCATCATCATCATCATCATCATCATAATCATCATCATCATCATCATCAGCATCATCATCATCATCACCATCATCATCATCATCATCAGCAGCAGCAACAACATCATCATCATCATCATCATCATCATCATCATCAGCAGCATCAACATCAGCATCAGCATCAATAACAGCATTATCCTCATCTTCAGCAGCATCATCGTCATCGTCATCATCATCATCATCAACATCACTAGCATCGTCGCCATCAGAATCATAATCAGCATCATCAGCATCAGCATCAGCATCAGCATCATCAGCATCATCATCGTTATCATCAGCAGCATCCTTATTATCAGCATCATCATTATCAGCACCATCATCATCATCGTCATCATCATCATCACCATCATCACCAGCATCATACTCATCACCACCACCACCACCAACACCGCCACCACCACCATCACCACCATCATCGTCGCGCCAGACCGACGATCCAAGAAGGCTCGAGAGTGCTCCAAGACGACCCCAAGGAAGCACCCCGAGCACCTGCAACAGATGCGATGTTGTCGCGGTTGTAAAGAGGATTGCTCGAAAATCCCAGGGCCCTGGATTCTCAAATCTCCAGGATCCCCCGAAATTCCAGAACTCAGGAATTTCAGAATATCCCGCCCTTCTAGTTTTGAAAGTCTTCAACGGGCTGAAACTTTTCACATTCTCTAGAATTTCTACAATGGTGAAAATCTCTGGCTTCTGAATTCCCAGATATCCAGACCCCCGAGGTACGGGAAATCATGGACTTCAAAACTTTCAAACGGCTTCAACCTTTCAAACCGCCTGAATAGTTTCAAACTGCTAAGAGCTATTGAAACTTCGTTTACAACTTTTGAAAATCCATGGCCATTGAATTCCAAGATCATCAGGACCACTCGAAAATCGGGAAACCAGGGATCTCAAAAGTATTGAAGCTCTTACTCCTAAAAGTTTAAGATTTTGGAACGCCAGCCCCCTCCCTCCCTCCCTCCCTCGCCCTCCCTCCCTCCCTCCCTCCCTCTCCCTCCCTCCCTCCCTCCTTCTCCTCCTCCTCCTCCTCCTCCTCCCCCTCCTCCTCCGCGAAGCGTCCAGACTTTTCGGAAGGCCGCACCGGCCTCTTGGATCGGCACCGAGGGCGCCGCCAGGGGACCAAGGGCAGATCCAGGAATTCGGCGCGGACCTCCGAGCATGTCATCCCGCAGGCAAATTTCTGAAGGAGCATGAAAATAGTTGTGAAACGAATCAAAGGTCAGGTCAGAAGCCTTGCGCCAGACGGCGCGCGAGCAGGGTGAAACAAGACGGTTGCGCCTGTGAAGGGGCACGTCGGCACTTCATCCAAACCAGTGAGCGGAGCCCTCCATCGGAGAGGCGTCTCGCAAGAATCCGCTTTATGGGGGTAGCGGTGTAAGAAATGTATGGGAACGGATGTAGAAACGAATCAAGAGAGCACGAAAAATCGGCCCCTGATTACATATGTTTTAATTGCTGTTGAATTTTCCTCCTGTGGAAGGACATGCCGGACTTACGTCTGTGCCGATGTCTTCCCTTGGGTC